CAGGGTGTGAAGCAACATGAGGGTGTGGGCAGGGTGTGAAGCAACATGAGGGTGTGGGCAGGGTGTGACAACATGAGGGCATGGGCAGGGTGACACAACATGAGGGCATAGGCAGGGTGACACAACATGAGGGTGTGGGCAGGGTGACACAACATGAGGGCATGGGCAGGGTGACAACATGAGGGCATGGGCAGGGTGACACAACATGAGGGTGTGGGCAGGGTGACACAACATGAGGGCATAGGCAGGGTGACACCTGAGGGTGTGGGCAGGGTGTGACACAACATGAGGGCATGGGCAGGGTGACACAACATGAGGGCATGGGCAGGGTGACACAACATGAGGGCATAGGCAGGGTGACACAACATGAGGGTGTGGGCAGGGTGACACAACATGAGGGTGTGGGCAGGGTGACACAACATGAGGGTGTGGGCAGGGTGACACAACATGAGGGTGTGGGCAGGGTGACACAACATGATGGTGTGGGCAGGGTGACACAACATGAGGGTGTGGGCAGGGTGACACAACATGAGGTGTGGGCAGGGTGACACAACATGAGGGTGTGGGCAGGGGACACAACATGAGGGTGTGGGCAGGGGGGACACAACATGAGGGTGTGGGCAGGGTGACACAACATTAGGTGTAGGCAGGGTGACACAACATGAGGGTGTGGGCAGGGTGACACCAACATGAGGGTTTTGGGCAGGGTGACACAACATGAGGGTGTGGGCAGGGTGACACAACATGAGGGTGTGGGCAGGGGACACAACATGAGGGTGTGGGCAGGGTGACACAACATGAGGGTGTGGGCAGGGTGACACAACATGAGGGTGTGGGCAGGGTGACACAACATGAGGGCGTGGGCAGGGTGACACAACATGAGGGCGTGGGCAGGGTGACACAACATGAGGGCGTGGGCAGGGTGACACAACATGAGGGCATGGGCAGGGTGACACAACATGAGGGCGTGGGCAGGGTGACACAACATGAGGGTGTGGGCAGGGTGACACAACATGAGGGTGTGGGCAGGGTGACACAACATGAGGTGTGGGCAGGGTGACACAACATGAGGTGTGGGCAGGGTGACACAACATGAGGGCATGGGCAGGGTGACACAACATGAGGGCATGGGCAGGGTGACAACATGAGGGCATGGGCAGGGTGACACAACATGAGGGCATGGGCAGGGTGACACATGAGGGCATGGGCAGGGTGACACAACATGAGGGCATGGGCAGGGTGACACAACATGAGGGCATGGGCAGGGTGACAACCCTGAGGGCATGGGCAGGGTGACACAACGTGAGGGCATGGACAGGGTGACACAACATGAGGGCATGGACAGGGTGACACAACATGAGGGTGTGGACAGGGTGACACAATATGAGGGCATGGGCAGGGTGACACAACATGAGGGTGTGGGAAGGGGGACACAACATGAGGGCATGGGCAGGGTGTGAGACAACATGAGGGCATGGGCAGGGTGTGACACAATATGAGGGTGTGACAGAACATGAGGGTGCAGGCAGGGTGTGACACACGAGATTGTGGACAGGGTGACACATGAGGGGTGTGGACAGGGTGACACATGAGGGGTGTGGACAGGGTGACACATGAGGGGTGTGGACATTGTGACACATGAGGGGTGGGGGGACAGGGTGACCATGAGGGGTGGGGACAGGTGACACATGAGGGTGTGGGACAGGGTGACACATGAGGGGTGTGGACAGGGTGACACATGAGGGGTGTGGACAGGGTGACACATGAGGGGTGTGGACAGGGTGACACATGAGGGGTGTGGACAGGGTAAACACGGGGGTGTGGACGGTGACACATAGGGGTGTGGACAGGGTGACACATGAGGGGTGTGGACAGGGTGACACATGAGGGGTGTGGACAGGGTGACACATGAGGGGTGTGGACAGGGTGACACATGAGGGGTGTGGACAGGGTGACACATGAGGGGTGTGGACAGGGTGACACATGAGGGGTGTGGACAGGGTGACACATGAGGATGTGATGCAACAAAAAATTTTGAGCTTCATTCTTTTGCTCCTTCATTTACTTTTCAAACATTACAGGTCATAAAGAGATTTTTGTTTTTAAAATATATAGCATTTTGTTTTAACTTTTAAATTGTTCAAAGTGAAGGAGTACAGTACAGTACATTACAATACAATACCATACAGTACAGTATAAATCAATCTTTGACACTATAGTCACACTAGCATATCTTCTTTGTAAATTATTTTACCAGTTCTTTCCCAGGTAGCAAGTTATTATTGTTGTTGTTGTTGTTATTATTATTATTATTACTGTTGTTTTTGCAATCAAAATATGAGATATATTTACGTAGTTATAAGTGCAAATTTCACACTTAATCAACACAGTTGTGAAGTTGCCTATAAAGCAATACATATTGCGTGGAAGAACAATGATTTACAGTTTATCAAAAGAATATACATGATGTGGCAATCATTCACAAACATTGCACTTGCAATAATCATGCAACTACTAAAATGAAATTGTACTGAAAACAATGTTGATCATATTTTTGATGGTATACAATACTGACGTGTTGATGAATATGACACGTGTACAACACTTGCTGAAACATTTTGCCCACACAACAGGCTTCTTCAGTTGAGTATAGGCAAATACTGGAGACAGTAGTAGTAGTAGTTTTGATGTGATCAGGTAGTCAACCTTAGTTTAAGGTGGTCAGTCCCTCAAGCCACTGAAGAGTGACGACCATCTCCTACCAAGGGTGTTTGACTGATCACATCAAAATTTCTATCGCTGTCTCCAGTATTCAACTTAAGAAGACTGTTATAAATGCAAAACATTTCGGCAATAAAGATGTTCAAGTATTGCAAAGGTGTCAATCAACAAGAATGTTGATTCAGGGGTCAAATGCATGACAGATGAATAATTTTTTTTTTCATATACTGGCAGTATTCCACCAAGGCAGAGTGACTCGATGAAGAAAACACACTCATTTCCTGCTTTGCCTTTTTGGTTAATAAATTACAAGGGAAAGGGGTTATCAGCCCCCTTGCCCCTGGCATTTTAGTCACCTGCAACACGCATATTTTATGAGAGAAGACTGTAACCCACTTCCCACAGGAAACTTGTAATACAAACACTGAATATATGATACATACAAAGATACCTTTGATAAATTATGTAATATATAACAATGTTGGATAAGACACATTAAATATAATGGTATAATAACAAGAACTAGTAAGACTGAAACCAGTAAAAGTAAGTCTCTGATAATTAAGTCAAAGAATGTTTCATTATGGCACACCACCTAAGCCTTAACCTGTAAAATGTTTTATATATTGTACTGTAAGAAGTAAATAAATTGAGAGAAAAGGGTAAATTGCTTTGAATAAATTGCTCGACAAACTTACAACCAATCTCACTGTTTCTTCTGTACTTTACATTAATTTTCCTCTCTATTTCTCTCACTCAATGCCAAAAGTATGACTCCCTTTTCTTTAAGCACCTGTTTAGTTATGTGATACACCTAAATGACTGTATTTAATTTCAATATATGTTCAGTCACCTATTATCTATCCCCAACAAGACCTTAATTAAACCTTCAGACTTACGAGCAGCCTGATAAATTACTATTATATCCGATCATGAAGTCTTCTGTTTGGTCGGTTACCTGGACTGATTGGAGATAGGTTAATAGGGAAGTGACTGATATTTTTTTTTTAAATTAAAAAGCTGTGACAAATATTATCTAATACTTTTAACTCAGCTTCAAAGGGAAATAAATCCACCACCACATGTATATAAGCAATCAGTATTCTATACACAAAAAACTATGTCAGGTAACTAAAGTTTGTTCTTCAAAAAGACTAGAATGACACACTTCTGTACACTGCACCTTTCATGTGCTGAAGCAAGGAAAATATCGTCAAAAACCTTATATTTTATGCTCTATAATATGTTGAAAAATGAAGCACCAAAAGTAATCGATGAAATAACACATTGCTGACAAGGACACATGTTGCAGAGCAGGCTACCATTGGTGTATTTCACTCTGACATCATAAAAGCTCCACACACACAGTGATACACTGTCCCAATAAATGCTTATTCTGCCACTTGCAGCTTTGTCTTTACACTAAAAATAATATTGTATTAACTATGTTAAAAAAGTAATCAAATTGGTGCAACTCTAAATAAAAATAAAAGCTACATATTCTTAGTCTTCAGAATTTCATATACATCAACCTGAATAACACTATGAAAGAAATTAAGTATTAAATCAACCTACAGTACTGACCAGGCCAATGCTTGACAGTCCTGTATATACATAATACATGGGAAAACTGTAAACAGTTTTCTCTGCGAGATTCAAATGAAAACTTACACATCAGAAGGTATGTTGAAAATGCAATGATTAATGCTAAGTATACAAATAAATTAACAAAGTTGGTCCACTGGGAGTCATAAAGAATAATTCATGAACACTATTAAGTTCCCTAACCTTTTGCAATTACATACTAAAGAGACAACAGATATATCCAAGACAAATGTACTCAATTAAGTATTGAAATTTCCAATAACAACACATCAATGAACAAATGCTATAAAAGGAACAAGCAACTAAACAAAAAGTTGATTCATTTTGCAAATACATGTATTAACTTTTGCTTGTTGTTAACATATGTTTAATTTCAAGGAATGATGATGTAATGTTTAGTGCATTTTTGTTTTAAATGCTCTTACGAAATCTGACAAAGCATCCATATTGAAAAATGTCAATGCTGACCTGCACTTCTGATGATGATACAAAATTACAAACTCCCGTACTCAGCAATGTGAAATTCAGAACCAATATGCAAACTCAAGTATGCACAATATTGTGAATGAAGGTTAACACCCACATGTTTTGAAGATGTACCAAAAATCTCGTAAAATGAAACTAATAATTTAAAATCGTCCTCAAGCTTTTTGCAAGGTGATGCTCCTAGGCAAGGGTGACAGGTGCCCAATAAAACTTTTTTTTTTTTTTTTTTTTTTTTTGTTTTTACAAATAAGTATGAATCTGCATATCTGGGGAGCAATGTCATGATGAAACATAAAAGGCAAGTGGCAATTCCATATACCATATTGTGTTTATATTCATCTGTAATCTTTTCCAGTTTCCAACTTTCTTATCTTTACTCAGAATGCACATTTTTTTTTTTCCCCAGCTAAAGGAATGGGACAACTCTAGAACCTACAAAAAAATATCATAGTTTTACACGTGGTGAAATATTGCTTTGACATTATTCTATGATCTTAAACCATGACTAGTTTTGAAAGGATTGTCAGTTTCTTCTTTTGGATAAGTCTGTTATATTGTTCAAATTCAATGGAAACTGGAGCACAATTTTGGATGCTAGAGTACTATCTGGCAGACACACTCAAAAACTTGGAAAACTGTTACTTGCTAAGTCCCCAATTACAAGTGCTGTTAACCTTCACACCATGCCAAAATTTGTAAGATGCAGCCTATTGTACTTTTAAAAGTTTATCTGGAGGTTATATACCAGCCACTGAAGAATACAAACTTCATTATCTTATCCAAATAAATCATGTGACAATCATTAAGCTAAAATAACTGTGTTTCTTAATGAGAAAACACATCTTTGTGAAAATCTATCTAAAATATCTCAAGCTGAATGAATTGCTTAATTTTCTCAAATTTGGGGTAATTTCATACCTGTTCACTCACTTATGCAATAATTATATTCTATAAGTGATCTATTGATGAATGATTGCTTTTTGCTTTTCTAGGAGCACTGGTGAGTATTGAGCTAACTCTGGCTTCCTTACACAGCCCTATCAATGGTTGCCTTGAAAGCTGCTAAGTTATAGTCTATTCAGAAGCCACTACAATACATATTTTGAGATAAATATTAAAGGGCTTAACCATTACGTATCATATAATTAATTGAGTGAGCCCTACACTGATCGTGTGGGTAACCTGTAGAATGACCCACCTTCACCAGAAGGTAAATAACACAAATATTTCTGGTGAAGCACAAGACCCTCTTCATTACCTTAAGTGTCTGGCCAGACTGAAAATAATGGTACTGTTTTCCTACTACTGAATGTTGGTCATCCCTGTACGGTATACAATTAATGAGAATGTTTGCTTATGCCACTGGAACCCCACACAATACAGTTTCAAAGTGCTTTAAATCATTATCAACAATATACTTGCCAGAGCAAAAATGTAAAAAACTACTATGTATGAAAATTCTACAAAAAAATACTTGTCTTTAATGACTTAAATAGTATTACAACCTTAAGCAAGATATCCTAGAATACCACATATGCATGACTACAAGCTGCCCTGGGAAAAGTAATATATTTTTTGATAACCACTTTTGATCAAATATTAGCTCATCCCCAAAGATGGTATATGTCTACAATGCTAATATCTTCAAAGATAGTCTCTCTCCTAACATCCCCAAAAATGGAGTATGCACTCTTGATTCCTGCAAAAATGACAATTATATACTTCTAGTGCATTAGAGGGCTAGGCTTGGATATATTATTCTTGAAGTTCATGCTTTTATTCTGCTTTAATTTGGTGGTTTTTAGTTCAGCCTTTCCATACACAAGTTCAATGTATTTTGCATAATTTAAGAGCACACAAAAATTCTGCAAACTGTATTTTTTGTACTAAGTGAATGTAGCGGTGCAAAAGTGTATTAACGCACTGTACTTTCTCACGTTCAATACAACTCTGAGCAACATTTTGTCACACCAAAGGTTCTTTTTAGAGAAAATTACTACACCAGACATGTTATAATTAACCCATTTCTTCCACTGATTAATTATTAACACTGTATTCCAGGACAAATATTTCACTAGTACACAGCCATACCCTGCAATATGTCATTAATTGGTTTCAAGAGCCCTGACATAATCATAAAAATCTTTGAAAGAGTTCTAAGAAGCAAAATCACCACACATATAGATACCCATTAGTTACACAACCCAGGGTAACATGGGTTTAAAGTAGGCCACTCCTGCCTGCTCTAGAGGACAAACAAAATGCAGATGTAGTATACACAGACTTTGCAAAAGCCTTCAACCAGTGCATTATGTCTGGTTTTTGAGGTAAACCATACACAACGCCTTAAAAATGCCTTAAAATGACGACAAACACTGTAACTGTAAAACTAGTGTAAATAACTTGCACAATTAAAAAAAATATGACATAGGTGACATTGCTGAGTGACGTAAAGTCAGACGTAATGACGTTCCCTGAACTGAAATTTACTCTAGAAAAGTGGCATAAAGGTGAATTTGATGTAGGCCGAAATGACGTAAAGTGGGGTATGACTGTACTGATTTTCCATTAAAATTCTTATTTAATGTTATCTATTAAAATAGCATCCACCAAAAAAAAAAAATGATGATTGGCCAGGGCATTACCCTCCACAGGGTTAAATAAATTAAATACAATACTTACATCTACAACAAAATACAGTAGACCATTATATTACAAGGTAGTTACATTCCTGAAAATGCTGTGTTAGGTAAATCTGTGTTAGATAAACTGAAGAACTTATGGAAAAATAGGATTATGTTCCTGGGAGCCTCACAAAGTTCAAACAACTTTTTCTTAGACCTCCAGATCTTACAAAAATAAAAGTTAATATGTACAGTGGACCCTCAACCAACACAGCATCAACTAACGCCAAAATTGACTAACAGCGCTCTTTGGCGTCAAAATATTGGCTCTACCAACGGCAAAAAACTTATCTAAAGGCTTTCGCCCCGAGCGTGTCCATGCGGCCTGAGCAGACCCAGCTGCTCCAAGACTCTGTGTACAGCCAGTGTGGTACTGTTTACAAGCTGTTGTGGTCAATCCCACGTGTGATATACGTGGGATCGCACGATCTCACGTACAATATATTTTGCCTTATTCCATTGTTTTTAGTGCTTGTAACCACTAAATAAGCCGCAATGGGCCCCAAGAAAGCTTCTAGTGCCAACTCTGTGGTAAAAAGGGTGAGAAATACTATCGTACCACGGTCAACTGCTGCTGCACCACTGTCAGCTGCTACTGTACCACCGTCAGCTGCTGCTGCACCACGGTCAGCTGTACTACTCAAAGATGTGGAGAGACTGATGTTGGTGTGGCTTATCGAGAATACCGAGAAACAATTAACCCCAGAGGGTTATCCACCCAGGATAACCCAAGAAAGTCAGTGCGTCATCGAGGACTGTCTAACTTATTTCCACTGGGGTCCTTAATCATGTCCCCCAGGATGCGACCCACACTACTCAACTAATACCCAGGTGAACAGGAAAAAATGCCTGGAACTAGTGCTCATATTGGTGAATTTAAGGCCAGCAAAGATTGGTTTGAGAGATTTAAGAATCGTAGTGGCATACACAGTGTGATAAGGCATGGCGAAGCTGAAAAATTCCAACCCCAACAGTGTTTAATTGTGACAAAACAGGCCTGCTCTGGAAAAAAATGCCAAACAGGACCTACATCACTCAGGAAGAAAAGGCACTCCCAAGACACAAGCCTATGAAAGACAGGCTAACTCTCATGTTTTGTTGTAATGCTAGTGGGGATTGCAAAGTGAAGCCTTTACTCATGTATCACTCTGAAAATCCCAGTGTGTTCAAGAAAAACAGTGTCTCATCACTCAACAATACTCTTCAATAAAGGTAAGTGTCATTTTAGTATTTATTTATGCATGTATTGGGCATGTCTCATTGTTTTCTGTGTAGGGAAATGTATATTTCATGTAGAAAAAAATTATTTTTTTTAATACTTTTGGCTGTCTGGAACAGATTAATTGAATTTCCATTATTTCTTATGGGGAAAATTAATTCGACTAAAGGCTAGCTCCCTGGAACGGATTAAAGCCATTGGTTGAGGGCCCACTGTAATTGTATTTCATTGTCGTGATGTATCATGTTGTTTTTACTGCTAAAGACTACAAATGCAACAGAAATAATAGTATTTCTTACCTTAAATTGTGGGTGCTGGTGTTTTTGGATGATTGTGAAGAGAGTGGTGAGTTATGCTGTGACTTACTGGGCTGAGGTGGATGGTAGAGGTTCTGGTACTGAAGTCGATGGTTGTACTGGAGTGTGCATAAATTCTGTAATGGATTTCTGTTCTGTTTTACCCTGCAGTACATTATACAGCTGGTGGTAAGGAAACAGTGCTCTTTTCAGAGCAAATCTAGAAGCAGTGTTCTTTTCAGAGCACTGCTTCTAGATTTGTCAGGGTCTTCTTCAGTGAAAAAGTCTAACTTTAAGTCAGTCAGTAAATCAGACAAGTCGTTAAATCAGTAAAGTCAGTCAGTCAGTCAAGTCAGTAAATCAGTAAAGTCAGTCGGCCAAGACAGTAAAGTCAGTCAAGTAAGTCAATCAAGTCAGTCAGTCAAATAAGTTAGTCAGTTATTCATCACACAAACTCATATATTTACCACATTCTATTTAATTGTACAAAGTGACGCTTCATTAAGGCCATACGCTATCTCTTGTTTAATATCTCTATTTTCTTCATAATTGTAAGACTTAAACGCTTATACCTTTTCTTGCCACTTTCATCAATACTCGTATGCCTACTGGGTACCATGAGTGCTTTGCAGATACAAGATATAGCAATTAAAAGATCAAAACACAATTCACAAATACACCTAGCTCCTAAGACAATGAAACTGAGCACATATTCATGAATGCTGAGATGGTGATGGCAGGAGTGTTGGGGGTGGCAGGGGATGGTGCTAGGTTTCCCCTGCTGACCCACAAGACGACAGATTGAGCTGGGGAAATTTTTCACACCCACAAACGGAACAGTGTTAAATTAATTTTACGAAGAGTTGAATAAAATTGTATTGCATTTTTCAATAGTGCAATAACCAAAACATGATAAATAAACAGATGTAATATAACAGTCTACTGTATGTATTAAAAACACCAAGTTCTGTTTCAAGTTCATTATCAAGAATCATGACCTTCAACTCTTAAAAAAAAAAAAAAAAAAATGCCCCATTCACTGGTAGTTAGATGACCAGTGAATTTTTTTTTTTTTTTTATTCTCTCTTCACTAAAGTAAGACACTGAAGGAGTTGAGATCATGGAGAGCGCAGTTTCAGGACTGGTCTTGTAATAATCCTATCGACTAGTTCTGTTTGGCAACACATTTCTTTTTATAAAAACATTAGTTATCTGAGATGATGCAATAGGTGATACAGCAATGCTATCTCTCTCTTATTCCGGATAATGGGTGTGCCAAAAGGGTACAAAGTTCAGATACAGAATGCTTCTCTTATTCAGATGAAATACAGTAATTCAAAATGAGAGCTTTTACAAAATAAAATTCAGAATCTTTGCTCAGTTGGAAACTGAGATATTATATTTTACATATATATAAATTTACACCTCAGAAAGTATCTTCATTAATTATAAAAAAACACTGAGAATTTCCAAAATTTGAACCGAAATTTGGAAGTTGCCTTCTTAATCATTTAATGATGATTCTAAATACATTTCTTACAAATTTTAAAAGAATTCCGAATAATAGGGATAAAATTCATGCCTTGAATGCGGTCATAAATACTGTAATTTTAGACTATTTTTTCTGACTGATGCAAATGAAAACACCTCACTCGCCACCCTTGGATCATCTCTCATCTCGTCCCAGCCTCACCCCGACTACATACTCTGCACTGTACACACAACCATGCAAACCAGTTAACTGACGTGGCTGAGTGGATATGCTTATGCTGGATGCAACTGAGGACAATCTATATGATACAGTGGCTATTAACTTGCAGGGAAATATTACTAATACATTAATGGAAAGAGCTAAACCCATTCAGTGGTAAACAGCAGAGGTGTAAGCAATGGTAGAATGGGAGGTGTAGAGGGAAGAAGAAAAAAGGAAAAAATCTGCATTAATTAAAAAAATCTGCATTAAAGGTGGAACCATCAAGAGAGAAAGATGGAACCATTAAGAAAGGTGGAACCATCAAGAAAGGTGGAACCATCAAGAAAGGTGGAACCATCAAGAGAAAGGTGGGACCGTCAAGAGAAACGTGGGGCCGTCAAGAGAAAACTGGAACCATCAAGAGAAAGGTGGGGCCGTCAAGAGAAAACTGGAACCATCAAGAGAAAGGTGAAACCGTCAAGAGAAAGGTGGAACCGTCAAGAAAAAGGTGGAACCGTCAAGAGAAAGGGGAAACTGTCATGAGAGAAAGGTGGAACCATCGAGAGAAAGGTGGAACTGTCATGAGAGAAAGGTGGAACCATCGAGAGAAAGATGGAACCATCAAGAAAGGTAGAACCATCAAGAAAGAAAGGCAGACAAAGCAAGCATGTCAGGACACTAAAGAAGTCTTAGTGACAAGTGAGGTGCTCTCAAAAAAATATCAAATCAAAGCTCTGATGTAGAACTGACTTTGTATTTGATCACAATTGCATTTGTAAGGATGACAACTAGGGGTAAATGCTGTGGCAGCTGACCAAATTAAGTAATTCGCAACAGCAGAAGCAGTTTCAAAATGAAGAGGTATAAAAATGGCATACATGTCACACAACAATTTGATCTCCCACAGGTAGGGAGTCACTCATTCACTGACAAAACTCATACTAATGACTTCTACATACAACAAAATAATACAATAATATTGACATAATTCATCTCAGATATGCTTTCTTAACACAGTATCCATACTGGCATCAAATGTGGGAATGATTTTCCTTGTTTTGGCATTTCAACACTGGCTATGTGCACCAGTCTTTCGGTAACATTTTACCATATTACTGCTGTTTCAAGTTCAGAAATAAAATAAAATCTGTGAGCTCTTACTGAAGCTCACTTAATAAATAATATACACAAAGAAATTTCAACCATGTGTTAGAATGTTTTAGTTCATATTTACCAAAGAAGACTTTGATATTAGCCAATAACAGAAACAGAAAAATAACATTCCAATGGAAAAAAAAAAGTAAATTAAAATATAAATCTGAACACTGATTTTAACAAAATCCTTTCTTACATTAAGAGAAAAACTAAGTTGACAAGTTCCACCAAAAAATTACCAATGTAATTATATGAATAACATACAATAAAATATAATATTAAAAATACTGCCATGGAATACATTCAAATATCCTCTTAACATTATCTTAAAATGTATAGTAATCAAATATCATTTTTCCCTTCATTCAAACCTACCACTGAGAAATAGTGGGTCCAAACTCACCTTTCCCAAGACTGTTCAAGCATCACTGTCTGCACTTGTCAAGAATTAAGGCATACTACAAACATGTGGTGAAGTTCCAAGATAGGAGGCAAGGAATGGTCACTACAAGAAAAGCTCTTGATTAGCCTGGTTGATTACGATATGATAAATAATAAGCCCGTATCAATGGTGTAGAACTATCTACATACAAAAAGGCCATGACTGTATTCACTGTCATTATCACTGTCACAGCTGTATTGTCACAATAAGATTACACCTGCAGTGGGAAAGCATTGTACATGATTCCAGAATGTGTAAAAATATTTAAAGCTACAGTGGTCTACATACAGAAATAAAGAATGTATTCCTTCATGATATCAACAAGAGTGCTTCTTATATATGAATGAAATGATAAGCTAGTGTCCATTCAATCAATGCACTAAAGTCTGAAAATGCATGGGGTAATTTTCTATTACTCAGAGAGTGACTACAGAGCAAAAGCAGTATTTCTCATAATTTCTTGCCTGCTTTAGATATCTTCACCATCGCAACACTACTCTTAATGCTTCTGGTATTTCTTGACTGATGTAGTACTTCCCGGGTCTTCATTATGCTGTCTATTATGCACATCTTTCACGAATGCTTTTGCACAGCAGCTGAAATTAGCTAATTTCAAAATGACTTTCCCCACATAGATGTACCACTTCAATTACTAGTTATCTAACATTAGCATTTTGTCTTCTGAAAAATACATATAGTGCCTCACTAGTTTCAACTACCCTATAAGTTACCATCCACAGACTAAGCTTTAATGTTTCAGTCACTAAGTCTGAGTTCAGCTTCAGCAGAACTCTTCTGACTGGTTTATCACTCACTGATCTGGAACTGGTGCTAATAATGCAAACTCAATGTCCCGGTGAACGTGTATTATGTACAAATGAAGGATCACCAAAACAGCTGAAATAGTGTCTTGTACAACAAGTACAAAATGGAAAGCCAAATATATGTTGAACTAATAAAAAAACAATGCCGCAGGATGAATTCCAAGGGGTCGTGTACCACCCTGGCTCCGGTTAGTCTACGTACATTTTCTGGCTGGAAGTTAGGCTCGTGGGGAGTGTGAACATCAGGAAAAGAACCAGTATCATAGTACTCTTGAAGAATTACTTCCTTCTCCTCGTATCTGGTATATAGCCAGTTTTTTAGTGTTTCTTCTTCTCGGGGAATCTGCAAGTATAACATACACAGTTTGTAAACACAATGATACAATATTATTATTATTACCACATTCAATGGGAAGTGCTAAACCCATAAGGATTAGAGTGCCTGGGGAGTAAGAGGTAATCACATATAATTCAGTGAAGAGTACTAGAGTTCTATTTCCTCAGGTCAAGAGCTCTTGATTGCTTCAGCAAGCAACAATCTTCCAAAAAATATTTCATACTTACCATCTCCACAGTTTCAAATGATCAATAACTACCAGCAGGTTTAAAAAAAAATATGCCATAGATTTCTGAATGCTAGTTTACCAACCACTTGATTTAATATGTGGGTCGAGTAAACATTTGCTATTCACAAAGATTATGTTTAACAAACCTCCCAATAAATAGTAAAACTCTCAAGATAATAAATCCAAAGGGAAATGGGAGGTTACTGACTAGGGATCACAAAATACTCAATACATTTGGGAATTAATTTAAGACATTGACAATATTTAATTGGAGGACTGCACTCTTATGCTTTGAATGCCAAAGGACAGAATCCTAGGAAAGCACTGTATTCTGGGTATTTAGCTGTATGATTCTTTTGCTTCAAATTCAAAGATTGAGGCTAGGAAAGCAGCATGTCTCAGGAGAAAGTGTCAAGCCTAGTGATGGGAGTAGTAGGCTTCAGTTTAAAAAGTTTTGAGATCTGAATGTGCTTGGCTTTCTTCTTCACCACAAAGAATTTAAAGAGAGGAAAAGAGGACAGGTGAGGCACAACACACACACACACTCAGAATACAAATGAGTGAGGGATTCATCACCTTGCGATTGCAAGAAAAATTACAGCTGAACACAAAATAAACGAATGACTAAAGAGTAGAGTAAGGAAACCATTACTGAAAAACAATTATGATGCAGAAATCAGAAAATCTGCATGGGATATGTTCCTAGAAGTCCCCATGAATACAGAGTATAAATAAGAGTCTAGTCATTCTGCCATCAGTCCTAGCTGCCTTCTCCCAATCTTAAAAGCTTTTTACTGACTGTATATTCAAGCCTAGTGTCAATGATTCAACCAAGATGATTAATAGCTTTGCATTTTTTTTTTAACACACTGGCCATCTCCCATCAAGGCAAGGTGACCCTAAAAAGAAACACTTTCACCACCATTCACACTATCACTGTCTTGCCAGAGGCACACAGATACGACAGTTGAGATGTCCCTCTACAAAGCAAATACATGTATCCCAAAATCCTTCCTTTGGAGCGCAAGCGCTGTACTTCCCTGTACGTATATAAAATATTATTTTTCAACACATCGGCTGTTTCTCACCTCGGCAGGGTGACCCAAAAAAGAAGAAACACTTTCACCGTCACTCACTCCATCACATGCATATCAACTTCTAGAAATAAAATAAAAATTGTCAGTCTTAGAATCTTACCTTATTTTTCCTATTAGTTTGTTACACATTTATGATTCATTAGAACAAAGTTGTTGTGAGGCATGTAGTAACTACTACATCATACAAGTTTTCTGAATAATGCCCAAATTTTGCAAGGCAAATGATGTTACATTTCACTCGAGTCTTCATTCTAGAAAGGCAGACAGGAATCAATTGATGGCAATTTTTTTTATTTAGTGGTTACCCTTCCTTGGCAAAAATTATCAGATGTTAAAAACCTTTCACTACAACACAGAATTTTAGAATACATGTATGTGGCAGGAGCTCAATAAGTGAGACTGCAGTGCTGTGTCCTATGAAGAGTCAATCAGTGCAGAAAGGTTGTACTTTCCAATAATTTTGACTAAAATAAATTTAGCATGCAAGTGAGGTGCACTCCTTTAGCCTCTATGAGATGGACATCACAACTAGTGCCTCTCTAGTGCCCAGATGTATCGTAAAAGACAAATACTTCAAGTGAACCAATGAAAACCATTAATACTTGTAGCCCATCTGATCATTTTTAACCTTTCTACAATTTCACTTACTTCAGTCTTTAAATTCTGGAAATATATTTAACTTATTTGGTGAATATTCTTAGTTCATGTTTTTGTTTTTCAATACGTCAGCCGTCTCCCACCAAGGCAGAGTGACCCAAAAAAGAAAACATACACTTTCACCATCATTCACACATAATCACTGTCTTTGCAGAGGCATTCAGATACGACAGTTTAGATGTCACTCCAATATATGCTCATTTTATTAATATTACAGACTACACTAAAGCTGTCTCTGACAGAGAGGTAGTTTTATTCATATGCTCGTTTACTTAACCCCCAAAACTGAAAAATCATTACAACTCCAGAAAAAAAAATATTTCTCATCGACACATTCACAAAATAATCAAGGATTTTATGACATAAGACAAAAAACTAGTTTTCAATAAGAAAACATAAGGTACATAATTTTAAACAGAGGGAGCTAGTTCATAAATGGTATCTCTAGATTTTTTACATACAGTCAGTTGTCTTAGTACCTCCTCTATATTAAACTTGCGATAGTGGAATATGGTGTCACAGCTGGGCCTCCATCCACCAAATACAGTCTGCAGGTCAAGTGGACGGCCACCTGGGTATGCCACCGTCACATCAATGAGGTATTTGATGCGGTCGGTACCATCTGAAAGTTCAGCAAGGATAAGATTATTTTTTTAACACGCTGGCCGTCTCCCACCTAGACAGGGAGACCCGAAAAAGAAACACTATTACCATCATTCACACTGTCACTGTCTCGCCAGAAGCACAAAGATACAATAAGATTATATTAGTGTTATAACAGTTTCAGGAGTTTCTTTACCAACATTAACTCAGTATACATTAGCTTTTAAAACAAATACTGTGTACATGCATATGAAGCATTTGGGAAAATAAAATAACAAAATTAACAATTAATCACAAATAATTTTGACAACTGTCCTACACATAACAGCAATTTTTGCAGTTTGTTATCTATGTAAAAACTACAGTAAGTCCTCACTTAATGTCATTTTATTCAACATTATTTCATTATAATGTTGATGAGGGAAAACAAATCTATTCCCAGCAGGGGGCGCTGTCTGTGTAGAGCTTAGATGTTCGTTTTTGAACTGTGTGGTGGTGGAAAGTGCTCCTTACAATTTTCATTCTGCAAACATGTAGTATTCCTTGGTTTAACCCTGTTGGAATGAGTGCTAACCTGGAGTTTACCTGGAGAGAGTTCCGGGGGTCAACGCCCCCGCGGCCCGGTCTGTGACCAGGCCTCCTGGTGGATCAGAGCCTGATCAACCAGGCTGTTACTGCTGGCTGCACGCAAACCAACGTACGAGCCACAGCCCGGCTGATCAGGAACCGACTTTAGGTGCTTGTCCAGTGCCAGCTTGAAGACTGCCAGGGGTCTGTTGGTAATCCCCCTTATGTATGCTGGGAGGCAGCTGAACAGTCTCAGGCCCCTGACACTTATTGTACGGTCTCTTAACATGCTAGTGACACCCCTGCTTTTCATTGGGGGGATGTTGCATCGTCTGCCAAGTCTTTTGCTTTCGTAGTGAGTGATTTTCGTGTGCAAGTTCGGTACTTAGTCCCTCTAGGATTTTCCAGGTGTATATAATCATGTATCTCTCCCGCCTGCGTTCCAGGGAATACAGGTTCAGGAACCTCAAGCGCTCCCAGTAATTGAGGTGTTTTTATCTCCGTTATTGCGCGCCGTGAAGGTTCTCTGTACATTTTCCAGGTCAGCAATTTCACCTGCCTTGAAAGGTGCTGCTAGTGTGCAGCAATATTCCAGCCTAGATAGAACAAGTGACCTGAAGGTGTCATCATGGGCTTGGCATCCCTCGTTTTGAAGGTTCTCATTATCCATCCTGTCATTTTTCTAGCAGATGCGATCGATACAATGTTATGGTCCTTGAAGGTGAGATCCTCCGACATGATCACTCCCAGGTCTTTGACGTTGGTGTTTCGCTCTATTTTGTGGCCAGAATTTGTTTTGTACTCTGATGAAGATTTAATTTCCTCGTGTTTACCATATCTGAGTAATTGAAATTTCTCATCGTTGAACTTCATATTGTTTTCTGCAGCCCACTGAAAGATTTGGTTGATGTCCGCCTGGAGCCTTGCAGTGTCTGCAATGGAAGACACGTCATGCAGATTCGGGTGTCATCTGCAAAGGAAGACACGGTGCTGTGGCTGACATCCTTTTCTATGTCAGATATGAGGATGAGGAACAAGATGGGAGCGAGTACTGTGCCTTGTGGAACAGAGCTTTTCACCGTGCCTGCCTCGGACTTTACTCTGTTGACTACTACTCTCTGTGTTCTGTTAGTGAGGAAATTATAGATCCATCGACCGACTTTTCCTGTTATTCCTTTAGCACGCATTTTGTGCGCTATTACGCCATGGTCAACACTTGTTGAAGGCTTTTGCAAAGTCTGTATATATTACATCTGCATTCTTTTTGTCTTCTAGTGCATCTAGGACCTTGTCGTAGTGATCCAATAGTTGAGACAGACAGGAGCGACCTGTTCTAAACCCATTTGCCTTGGGTTGTGTAACTGATGGGTTTCTAGATGGGTGGTGATCTTGCTTCTTAGGACTCTTTCAAAGATTTTTATGATATGGGATGTTAGTGCTATCGGTCTGTAGTTCTTTGCTGTTGCTTTACTGCCCCCTTTGTGGAGTGGGGCTATGTCTGTTGTTTTTTAGTACTGTGGGACGACCCCCGTGTCCATGCTCCCTCTCCATAGGATGGTAAAGGCTCGTGATAGGGGCTTCTTGCAGTTCTTGATGAACACGGAGTTCCATGAGTCTGGCCCTGGGGCAGAGTGCATGGGCATGTCATTTATCGCCTGTTCGAAGTCATTTGGCGTCAGGATAACATCAGATAGGCTTGTGTTAACCAAATTCTGTGGCTCTCATCAAAAAAATTCATTTTGATCTTCGACTCTCAGTCTGGTTAGTGGTTTGCTAAAAACTGAGTCATATTGGGACTTGAGTAGCTCACTCATTTCCTTGCTGTCATCTGTGTAGGACCCATCTTGTTTAAGTAAGGGCCCAATACTGGACGTTGTTCTCGACTTTGATTTGGCATAGGAGAAGAAATACTTTGGGTTTCTTTCGATTTCATTTATGGCTTTTAGTTCTTCCCGCGATTCCTGACTCCTATAAGATTCCTTTAGCTTAAGTTCAATGTTTGCTATTTCTCTGACCAGTGTCTCCCTACGCATTTCAGATAGATTGACCTCTTTTAGCCGCTCTGTTATTCTTTTCCGTCGCCTGTAAAGAGAGCGCCTCTTTCTATTTTACATCTACTCCTCCTTTTTCTTAGAGGAATAAGTCTTGTGCATACATCGAGTGCCACCAAGTTAATCTGTTCTAGGCATAAGTTGGGGTCTGTGTTGCTTAGTATATCTTCCCAGCTTATATCGGTTAGGACTTGGTTTACTTGGTCCCACTTTATGTTTTTGTTATTGAAGTTGAATTTGGTGAATGCTCCCTCGTGACTAATCTCTTTGTCGGTCTGGGGCTCTGCGCATACATGTCTGAACCTCAATTATGTTGTGATCTGAGTATATTGTTTTTGATATGGTGACATTTCTTATCAGATCATCATTGTTAGTGAAGATGAGGTCTAGTGTATTCTCCATTCTAGTAGGCTCTATTATTTGCTGGTTTAAATTGAATTTTGTGCAGAGATTTAAAAGCTCGTGTGAGTGTGAGTTTTCATCAGAGCTGCCTCCTGGTGTTATTACTGCAACAATATTATTTGCTATATTCCTCCATTTTAGGTGCCTTAAGTTGAAATCCCCCAGGAGCAAGATGTTGGGTGCAGGAGCTGGAAGATTTTCCAGACAGTGGTCAATTCTTAACAGCTGTTCCTGGAATTGCTGGGATGTTGCACCCGGAGGCTTGTAGACTACCACAATGACTAGGTTTTGGTTCTCGACCTTTACTGCTAAAACTTCCACTACATCATTTGAGGCATTAAGCAGTTCTGTGCAAACAAGTGACTCTGCAATGTACAGGCCAACCCCCCCCTTTTGCCTGTTTCACTCTGTCACATCTGTATAGGTTGTAACCTGGGATCCATATTTCGTTGTCTAAGTGATCCTTTATGTGGGTCTCAGTGAAAGCCGCGAACATTGCCTTTGCCTCTGCAAGCAGTCCACGGATGAAAGGTATTTTGTTGTTTGTTGCTGGCTTTAGACCCTGTATATTTGCAAAGAAGAATGTCATCGGACTGGTGGTATTGTTGGTACTGGGGGGGGGGGATTTTTTTCTGGCATTGTGTAGCCAATGTTTATATCAATTAGCCTATGATAAAACTGGGTTCATTATACATCATTTCACATAAAATCACAGTTTCCAAGAACCTATCAACAACCTTAAGTGAGAGCTTACTGTATACTGACCCTTCCCTGTATACCATACAAGTTTCTCTCTGCCACAATTCCAATGATGTGAATCTCTGGTGATAATTTTTGCCTATAATTACCTATAGATTCCTCTCAATGCTAGATGCTTTCAATTTTTTTATCACACAATCTATATTATAGTCTGGATTTTTTTTCTTAAACTTCAACACATCAGCTGTCTCCCACTGAGGCAGGGTGACCCACAAAAAAAAAAACACTTTCACCATCATTCACACATAATCACTGTCTTTTGCAGAGGCGCCCAGACATGACAGTTCAGATGTCACTCCAAACAGCCAATATCTCAAACCCCTCCTTTAAAGTGCAGGCATTGTACTTCTCACCTCCAGGACTTAAGTCTGGCTAACCGGTTTCCCTGAATCCCTTCACAAAATATTACCCTGCTCACACTCCAACAATTTGTCAGGTCCCAAAAAGTCATTTGTCTCCCTTCACTCCTATCTAATAAGCTCACACATACCTGCTGAATATCCAAGACTCTTACACACAAAACCTTCTTCACATATATGTGCTCTAGAGATGTATAAACATCATAATTATTTGTGTGTTCTAAATAACATTTGCTACACTGACTTATACAACACACCAAATGTTGCTCTGTCTTTATTACCAAAACTTAAGAGAATGTGAAGTGCAGCCTTACCATCATGACTATCTGCTGCAGCGTTGTCCATGATAACCTTCAGAGCACCAACTCTGGGCAGGGCAACATTGTGCAACACTGGAAGATTGTTCTTCAGAGCATACCTCTGACTCCCAGGTTTTCGATTTCTAAGGAATCCACCTTCAGGGAAGAGAACTAGCCACTTCCGGTTGCGTGGGATGTAAAATTGATTGAGATGATGGCCAAGTTCAAGGAGTGAGGCATCTCTGTGGTCTTTTCCCTAAAAAAAGAATAATTAAGAATAGTACTCATATTTTATAGAGCTTAAATAAGTCATTCCGCACTATATATTCAGGGTGTCACCAAAATGTACAAATTTGATTTTTTTCCCCCATATTATTAAGAATCTCTGAGACTTTAACATCACAATATTTGCTTTCTCTCTGCACTCCCTTACCATTATTTAAACCATTTTTTCCTTCTGTGTGTACTCTGTTTTCCTGTTATCACTGTAAAAGCTATTGCATGTCAACTTTTTCTCCCTTACCACCATTTTCAAATCAAGAATCCATCAATCAACTCTCTTTCTTATAGCATTTACCCTCCTTTAGCCACAAATCTGCTGCACACTAATACTATATTCTTAAATCCAAATCCCACCTCTTTGGCCTATTTATCACACATCAAACTGCACCACATCTCTTTGATCCCATTATTTTTGCTTCCCTGGTAAAGACAGACAGCATGTCTTCCTCTTATCATATAGAGGATTCATCCTTCAGCTGTCCTTGTGCTGAATAACCCATACAGGAATAGAACTATTATTTTTAAGACACCAGTCATCTCCTACCATTGCAGGGTGACCCGAAAAAGAAAAAACAAAAGTAGGAACGGTTCGATCTAAGGGAGGGTAGCTCCTATTCCCAATAAAGACACTTCACCATTAAGGGCTCTCCCTTTAACCCTTAAATGTCCAAACGTAACTACTTTCAGTGCATAGCACTCTAAATTTTTATTTTCTAAATTTGAAAGCTGAAAAAAACTAATCTACTTCGGATGCTACGCACGAAAATGTAGATCCAATTTGGACTTTTAAGGGGTTTTAAGGGACCAATAAGGAAACAACATAAGGTTTGGGCAAAAAAGTCAAAAATTTACAATAAAATGGAGATGACGAATTTCCCTGATTAAATAAGTACTTTAAATTTAAAGAAAAAAAGGAAGAATTGCATTATCAGACAAATAATGATCTAAGAAAACCTTTGACATTATTTTCACCATTAATTTGAAAGACAGAACTGATAAATGAGGGGGAATTGTTTTTTTTCTTTGGATCACCCGCCTTGGGGGGAGATGGCTTGAGGATAAAAACAAAAAAAATCCACTTTAAAAAACTCCCCATAACTATGCACATTTCTTACACCATGAATAAAAAAATCCCATGGGTCCAAGAAAAACGACCCCAAAATTTGTTAATTTGAAAACATATCCATAATCCCAAATATTGCGGACAACCCCTTTGGGGAGAATTGAAGACCATTATTTGTGGGAAAATCCGACGTCGACGATGTTTAATAGCACCCTTTTTCGCCCCGTGAGCAGATCCCAAACCCATAAAATGTTACATATTATTTCTACGCAAACACACTGTAAAGCATTTTTGTAAATAAATTTTAGATTCTAACTACAGTATCACCGCATTGTGGTTAGAGTAATAAAATATACAGCATCTCTTATTTGGAATCCTACCAAATTTCAAAAATATTTTGTTGAATTCTAAGTGATTTCTGAAATTGTGAGTTTCTCGAGTAAGAATAAATGTTACAAGACCCAGTTTTACAAGTATTTTCTACAACCTGCAAAACATTGGAAAAAAACTTTCATATCGTCTATTGTAAAAATTTTTCAAATAAACTTACTGACTATAACCCAAATTAATTTTTTGAGTTCTTAAACTGAACTGAACCTGAGTTCTTGAATTGAATGTCATCTAATGTACAACATAGTACCTATGTCATTTAATGTACAAAACAGTACCTATAATTTTATCTAAAGTACAAAATGTACCTATAAACTTACTAAACAATCACCCAAAAAATTTTTTCTTACAATCATTTTTAAAAAACAATGATATCCCCTTTGTAGTCTAAGCTAGGCTGAATTTGCCCAAAATGCTCTGTAAAATCATAGACTTTTAACAGCCCCAAATGTCAACATTTCTGCATAAAAAATTTATCTTGGGAAAATAAACATCTTTTTGTGGGGTATTTACGCCCATCCCCAAGCTCCACAACGTGGTATCCAGCACTATACGCCCAAGGGGGCCACCATAGACAGCAGCCATCGAAACAAAGCTCCGATAAGCCAATATGTATCGGGAGAAAAAAATTTTTGAGAGGCGAAAAACCCAGTACCAACAAAATGCCCGGGGATACAGAAAGTTGTTTAATGTCCATATTATAAACCGAACTGCTGCCCGCAACCTAAATATAATCAAAAAAGGGAGAGATTTCTATGAATGACAAAATGCGGTTTTTAATCAATGTGAAACTGAATCATATCAAAACACACCCTTTATTTTTGATGAAATTATGGCCTGAAAATTAACTTAACTAAAAGTTAAAGACAAAGTACGAACACTAAACTTCCTAATTAGAGCACCCCCAATTCACAAGATTCAATTACAAACTTTTAACCGAATTCTCTCATAAAAAACAGGGCATCATGGCTGTGAGAGAAAGTTCATCTTCCACTTTTAGTTACCATTTTGTCCTAGGCACATGTCGATTAGACATAGGCCTTTTTTATGGGTGTGTGTGCGCGCGTGTGCGCGCGTGTGAAGATGAGGTGAAAGTGTTTTTTTTTGGGGGTTTTTCTTTTTTTTCGGGTCACCCCCTCGGTGGGTGACAGCTGACTTGTTAAAAAAAAAAAAAGATAGATAAATAGATATACAACTTTAGTCCTGAAGGTGAAAACCACAGTGCCTGAGCTCTGAAGGAGGGGTGGAATATTGCAATTTTGGAAGGGATCTGAACGTGTACCTATGTACCTCTGGCAAACAATGTAGGGTGAATGATGGGGAAAGGGTTTTTTTTTTTTGGGGCACCCTACCTCGGGGGGAGACAACAGTGTTAAAAAATATAAGGGATGGAAAACCCCATGTAACCTTTTAAGCAACATACCATGTTCTTTTTATGGTTTAACAGTCTGGCGGCCCACCCTAAATTGGTCTGGGGAAAAAACAAGAATACTCCTGGGTTTAATATAATTCAAAGTTTTGGTTTTTCACTTACTGTACATACTAAGTTTTTTTTGAAAGTGCCTTCACGTCTTTCCCACCTCCCAAAATCAAGTCAAGTTTACCATTTTCCTGAATCTCTTTTAAATGTTACCCTACTCACACTCCAACCTATATCCAGCATTTACAATCACTTTTCTCCCCCTTCGATCTAACATACTCACAAGACCGCTGGATCCGAGCCTCTAGATGTATGATGTATGTGTGTGTATGTTTTGTGTGTATGTATGTTTATTTGTGTGTAGTATGTGTGTATGTGTGTGTGGTGGGGTTGTTTTGTGTGTGTGTGTGGTGTGTGTGTGTGTGTGTGTGTTGGTGTGTGTGTGTGTGTGTTTGTGTGTGCATGTGTGTATGTATGTATGTATGTATGTATGTATGTATGTATGTATGTATGTATGTATGTATGTATGTATGTATGTATGTATGTATGTATGTATGTGTATATATATACATATATATATATATATATATATTTTTTTTTTTTCAACAAGTTGGCAGTCTCCCACCGAGGCAGGGTGACCCAAAAAAGAAAGAAAATCCCCAAAAACAAAATGCTTTCATCATCATTCAACACTTTCACCACACTCACACATAATCACTGTTTTTGCAGAGGTGCTCAGAATACAACAGTTTAGAAGCATATACGTATAAAGATACACAACATATCCCTCCAAACTGCCAATATCCCAAACCCCTCCTCTAAAGTGCAGGCATTGTACTTCCCATTTCCAGGACTCAAGTCCGACTATATGAAAATAACCGGTTTCCCTGAAACCCTTCACTAAATATTACCCTGCTCACACTCCAACAGATCGTCAGGTCCCAAGTACCATTTGTCTCCATTCACTCCTATCTAACACGCTCACGCACGCTTGCTGGAAGTCCAAGCCCCTTGCCCACAAAACCTCCTTTACCCCCTCTCTCCAACCCTTTCGAGGATGACCCCTACCCCGCCTTCCTTCCCCTATAGATTTATATGCTTTCCATGTCATTCTACTTTGATCCATTCTCTCTAAATGAGCAAACCACCTCAACAACCCCTCTTCTGCCCTCTGACTAATACTTTTATTAACTCCACACCTTTTCCTAATTTCCACACACCGAATTTTCTGCATAATATTTACACCACACATTGCCCTTAGACAGGACATCTCCACTGCCTCCAACCGTCTCCTCGCTGCTGCATTTACCACCCAAGCTTCACACCCATATAAGAGTGTTGGTACTACTACACTTTCATACATTCCCTTCTTTGGCTCCATAGATAACGTTCTTTGACTCCACATATACCTCAATGCACCACTCGCCTTTTTTCCCTCATCAATTCTATGATTAACCTCATCCTTCATAAATCCATCCGCCGACACGTCAACTCTCAAGTATCTGAAAACACTTACTTCTTCCATACTCCTCCTCCCCAATTTGATATCCAATTTTTCTTTATCTAAATCATTTGATACCCTCATCACCTTACTCCTTTCTATGTTCACTTTCAACTTTCTACCTTTACGCACATTCCCAAACTCATCCACTAACCTTTGCAATTTTTCTTTAGAATCTCCCATAAGCACAGTATCATCAGCAAAAAGTAACTGTGTTAATTCCCATTTTGAATTTGATTCCCCATAATTTAATCCCACCCCTCTCCCGAACACCCTAGCATTTACTTCTTTTACAACCCCATCTATAAATATATTAAACAACCATGGTGACATTACACATCCCTGTCTAAGACCTACTTTTACCGGGAAGTAGTCTCCCTCTCTTCTACACACCCTAACCTGAGCCTCGCTATCCTCATAAAAACTCTTTACAGCATTTAGTAACTTACCACCTATTCCATATACTTGCAACATCTGCCACATTGCTCCCCTATCCACTCTATCATATGCCTTTTCTAAATCCATAAATGCAATAAAAACTTCCCTACCTTTATCTAAATACTGTTCACATATATGCTTCAATGTAAACACTTGATCTACACATCCCCTACCCACTCTGAAACCTCCTTGCTCATCCACAATCCTACATTCTGTCTTACCTCTAATTCTTTCAATTATAACCCTACCATACACTTTTCCTGGTATACTCAATAAACTTATTCCTCTATAATTTTTACAATCTCTTTTGTCCCCTTTCCCTTTATATAAAGGGACTATACATGCTCTCCGCCAATCCCTAGGTACCTTCCCCTCTTTCATACATTTATTAAACAAAAGTACCAACCACTCCAACACTATATCCCCCCTGCTTTTAACATTTCTGTCATGATCCCATCAGTTCCAGCTGCTTTACCCCCTTTCATTCTACATAATGCCTCACGTACCTCCCCCCACACTTACATTCTGCTCTTCTTCACTCCTAAAAAATGGTATACCTCCCTGACCAGTGCATGAAATTACCACCTCCCTTTCTTCCTCAACATTTAGAAGTTCCTCAAAATATTCTCACCATCTACCTAATACCTCCCTCTCCCCATCTACTAACTCCCCTACTCTGTTTTTAACTGACAAATCCATACTTTCCCTAGGCTTTCTTAACTTGTTTAACTCACTCCAAAATTTTTTCTTATTTTCATTAAAATTTCTTGACAGTGCCTCTCCCACTCTATCATCTGCTCTCCTTTTGCACTCTCTCACCATTCTCTTCACCTTTCTTTTACTGTCCATATACTCTGCTTTTCTTATAACACTTCTGCTTTGTAAAAACCTCTCATAAGTTACCTTTTTCTCTTTTATCACACCCTTTACTTCATCATTCCACCAATCACTCCTCTTTCCACCTGCCCCCACCCTCCTATAACCACAAACTTCTGCCCCACATTCTAATACTGCATTTTTAAAACTATTCCAACCCTCTTCAACCCCCCCACTACTCATCTTTGCACTAGCCCACCTTTCTGCCAACAGTCGCTTATATCTCCCCCGAACTTCCTCCTCCCTTAGTTTATACACTTTCACCTCCCTCTTACTTGTTGTTGCCACCCTCCTCTTTTCCCATCTACCTCTTACTCTAACTGTAGCTACAACTAAATAATGATCTGATATATCAGTTGCCCCTCTATAAACATGTACATCCTGGAGCCTACCCATCAACCTTTTATCCACCAATACATAATCTAACAAACTACTTTCATTACGTGCTACATCATACCTTGTATATTTATTTATCCTCTTTTTCATAAAATATGTATTACTTATTACCAAATCTCTTTCTACACATAGCTCAATTAAAGGCTCCCCATTTACATTAACCCCTGGCACCCCAAATTTACCTACTACTCCCTCCATAACATTTTTACCCACTTTAGCATTGAAATCCCCAACCACCATTACTCTCACACTTGATTCAAAACTCCCCATGCATTCACTCAACATTTCCCAAAATCTCTCTCTCTCCTCTTCACTTCTTTCTTCTCCAGGTGCATACACGCTTACTATAACACACTTTTCACATCCAATCTTTATTTTACTCCACATAATCCTTGAATTAATACATTTATAGTCCCTCTTTTCCTGCCATAGCTTATCCTTCAACATTATTGCTACTCCTTCTTTAGCTCTAACTTTATTTGAAACCCCTGACCTAATCCCATTTATTCCTCTCCATTGAAACTCTCCCACCCCCTTCAGTTTCGTTTCACTTAAAGCCAGGACATCCAGCTTCTTCTCATTCATAACATCCACAATCATATCTTTCTTATCATTTGCACAACATCCACGCACATTCAAACTTCCCACTTTGACAATTTTCTTCTTATTCTTTTTAGTAATCTTTACAGGAAAAGGGGTTACTATATATATATATATATATATATATATATATATATATATATATATATATATATATATATATTATATATATATATATATATATATATATATATATATATATATATATATATATATATACACATATATATATGACCTAAACTTAGGTCACACTACACATGCATGTACAAGCATATATATGTATATATACACATCCCTCTGGGTTTTCTTCTATTTTCTTTCTAGTTCTTGTTGTTGTTTATTTCCTCTTATCTCCATGGGGAAGTGGAACAGAATTCTTCCTCCGTAAGCCATGCGTGTTGTAAGAGGCGACTACAATGCCAGGAGCAAGGGGCTAGTAACCCCTTCTCCCGTATAAATTACTAAATTTAAAAAGAGAAACTTTCGTTTTTCTTTTTGGGCCACCCTGCCTTGGTGGGATACGGCCGGTTTGTTGAAAAAAATATATATATATATATGTATATATATATATATATATATATATATTTTTTTTTTTTTTTTTTTCAAGTCGGCCGTCTCCCACCGAGGCAGGGTGACCCAAAAAAAGAAAGAAAATCCCCAAAAAGAAAATACTTTCATCATCATTCAACACTTTCACCACACTCGCACATTATCACTGTTTTTTTCAGAGGTGCTCAGAATACAACGGTTTAGAAGCATATACATATAAAGATACACAACATATAACTCCAAATTTGCCAATATCCCAAACCCCTCCTTTAAAGTGCAAGCATTGTACTTCCCATTTCCAGGACTCAAGTCCGACTATATGAAAATAACCAGTTTCCCTGAATCCCTTCACTAAATATTACCCTGCTCACACTCCAACAGATCGTCAGGTCCCAAGTACCATTCGTCTCCATTCATTTCCTATCAAACACGCTCACGCACACTTGCTGGAAGCCCAAAACCCCCTTTTGCCCACAAAACCCCTTTTACCCCCTCTCTCCAACCCTTTCGAGGATGACCCTACCCCCCCTTTCCTTCCCCTATAGATTTATATGCTTCCATGTCATTCTACTTTGATCCATTCTCTCAAAATGAGCAAACCACCTCAACAACCCCCTTCTCCCCTCTGACTAATACTTTTTTTAAAACTCCACACCTTTTCCTAATTTCCACACTCCGAATTTTCTGCATAATTTTTACACCACACATTGCCCTTAGACAGGACATCTCCACTGCCTCCAACCGTCTCCTCGCTGCTGCATTTACCACCCAAGCTTCACACCCATATAAGAGTGTTGGTACTACTATACTTTCATACATTCCCTTCTTTGCCCCCCATAGATAACGTTTTTTGACTCCAACATATACCTCAACGCACCACTCACCTTTTTTCCCTCTCAATTCTATGATTAACCTTATCCCTCATAAATCCATCCGCCGGAACGTCAACTCCCAAGTATCTGAAAACATTCACTTCTTCCATACTCCCCCCTCCCCAATTTGATATCCAAGTTTTCTTTATCTAAATCATTTGATACCCTCATCACCTTACTCTTTTCTATGTTCACTTTCATCTTTCTACCTTTACACACATTCCCAAACTCATCCACTAACCTTTGCAATTTTTCTTTAGAATCTCCCATAAGCACAGTATCATCAGCAAAAAGTAACTGTGCCAATTCCCATTTTGAATTTGATTCCCCATAATTTAATCCCACCCCTCTCCCAAACACCCCAGCATTTACTTCTTTTACAACCCCATCTATAAATATATTAAACAACCATGGTGACATTACACATCCCTGTCTAAGACCTACTTTTACCGGGAAGTAGTCTCCCTCTCTTCTACACACCCTAACCTGAGCCTCACTATCCTCATAAAAACTCTTTACAGTATTTAGTAACTTACCACCTATTCCATATACTTGCAACATCTGCCACATTGCTCCTCTATCCACTCTATCATATGCCTTTTCTAGATCCATAAATGCAATAGAAACTTCCCTACCTTTATCTAAATACTGTTCACATATATGCTTCAATGTAAACACTTGATCTACACATCCCCTACCCACTCTGAAACCTCCTTGCTCATCCGCAATCCTACATTCTGTCTTACCTCTAATTCTTTCAATTATAACCCTACCATACACTTTTCCTGGTATACTGAGTAAAATTATTCCTCTATAATTTTTACAATCTCTTTTGTCCCCTTTCCCTTTATATAAAGGGACTATACATGCTCTCCGCCAATCCCTAGGTACCTTCCCCTCTTTCATACATTTATTAAACAAAAGTACCAACCACTCCAACACTATATCCCCCCCTGCTTTTAACATTTCTGTCATGATCACATCAGTTCCAGCTGCTTTACCCCCTTTCATTCTACGTAGTGCCTCATGTACCTCCCCCACACTTACATTCTGCTCTTCTTCACTCCTGAAAGATGGTATACCTCCCTGGCCAGTGCATGAAATTACTGCCTCCCTTTCTTCCTCAACATTTAAAAGTTCCTCAAAATATTCTCGCCATCTACCTAATACCTCCCTCTCCCCATCTAGTAACTCCCCTACTCTGTTTTTAACTGACAAATCCATATTTTCCCTAGGCTTTCTTAACTTGTTTAACTCCAAATTTTTTTTATTTTCATTAAAATTTCTTGACAGTGCCTCTCCCACTCTATCATCTGCTCTCCTTTTGCACTCTCTCACCTACCATCTGACTTACGACCTGCTCGACTTACGACCACTCGACTTACGATCGTGTTTTTTATGCCAAATTTCTGGAAAATAAGCAACTATTTGTGTTGTACACAGTGTTTATCCTAAACCTTACAGTATAAAATACAGTACAGTGGACCCCCGGTTTACGATATTATTTCATTCCAGAAGTATGTTCAGGTGCCAGTACTGACCGAATTTGTTCCCATATGGAATATTGTGAATTAGATTAGTCCATTTCAGACCCCCAAACATACACGTACAAATGCACTTACATAAATACACTTACATAATTGGTTGCATTGGGAGGTGATCATAAAGCGGGGGTCCACTGTACTAACAACATAAAAAGTAAAGTAAAACATGAAATACCAAAATAAAACAATAAAATAAAGTCATTACAAAAATGTTTTGTTGATATTCAGTAGTAAAGTTCGACTTACGACCATTTCGACTTACGACCATTTCGACTTACGACCGGTTTCTCGGAACCGAACTCGGTCATAACTCGGATTGTAGGCGTATATATAGTATATATATGTGTGTGTGTACTCTCAAATTTGTCTCAGGCAACCAGTGTTTACCTCTCAGGATCATGCGCACGGTGAACTGCACTGTTTTCCATGGTGGGGTCAAGAGGGCAGTGGGAAACATGCAGTACAAGGCAGCAGCGGCAGAGCTTGACAGTCAAGGTTCACTGGCCAGTGGTCTCAGGTGATCTCAGTGTTCCTTTAACACCCTCATTATCTGACAAGAGATAATACATACCAGTGATAAACATTATGGGTCTGACTGATTGAACCATATCTAGAAAAGATGCTCAAATCTTTAATATACTCACTATTTAACATGCTTAAATATAAAGGTATAAATCAAGCAAATTTCAACTACCTGTGGCTAAACAGCAAAGCACATTCAGTATTTCAACACATACTGACAAGTATACAGTATAATCACATAATTTGTTGATAGCATCCCCATACAAACATTCCATAAATGAGTTACCAATGAGTTAATTTCACAAAGTTTTGAAAACAAGATAAAGGATAGGATGACACTACACTGTCTCCTTATCCCCCGCTCTTGCCAGTCTTGTGTAGTCATACACCCACATGTATGTGTGTGTGCTCATACATGTTAGAGCAATGTTCGAACAAGTAGTTACTATAAACCACGGTACAGTTGGGATTAGAACCCATAGTGACTTGTAAAACTCCAGGCCACTGGGCCAGCTGGCTACAATAAGATTCATCCAACTAGGTATATTTATGCACCATAGGGAGGTTAGCATGGGCTCCACTTGACTGCTTTTGTAGTCACAGTGGTGGCCCATGCTAACCTCCCTGTGACACTTAAATATACCTAGTTGGATGAATCTTATTGTAGCTAGCTGACCCAGTGGCTTATGTACTGGGCTAGAGTTTTACGACCCACTTACCATAGGTTCTAACCCCACCCACACTGTGGTTTGTTTGCAATCATATTATAGTTACTATAATTTGACCATGGCAAGTGCCAAGTAATGAAAATAGGTATCAGACCAAGGAAAACTATGTGAAAAGGAAACATCTAACAGAAGCAAATAAAGAGAGACCTGGGGTTAGTGCTGGCTTTAAGAAATCTTAAAAGAAAAAAAAAACTAATTCCCCAATCAAGCTTAGATTTGTTAAATACCTGGAGAGGGTTTCGGAGATAAACGCCCCTGTGGCCCAGTCTGTGACCAGGCCTCATGTGGATCAGGACCTGATCAACCAGGCTGCTACTGCTGGCCACACGCAACCCGACGTACGAACCACAGCCCGGTTGGTCAGGTACTATCTTTAGGTGCCTGTCCAGTGCCTTCTTGAAGACAGCCAGAGGTCTATTGGTAATCCCCCTTATGTATGTTGGGAGGAAGTTGAACAGTTTTGGACCCCTGACACTTATTATGTTGTCTCTTATTGTGCTTGTGGCACCCCTGATTTTCACTGGGGGATGTTGCATCGTCTGCTGAGTCTTTTGCTTTCATAGGGATTGATTTTCATGTGCAAGTTTGGTACTAATCCCTCAAGGATTTTCCAAATTTATATAATCACGTATCTCTCCCGCCAGCACTCTAGGGAGTACAATGAGCATGGGCATATCATGAGTACAATGAGCATGGACATGTCATTCATCGCCTTTTCGAGGTCATATGGCATCATGGTAATATCAGATAGATTCGAGTCTGCCAAATTCTGCGTCTCTCTCATAAAAAATTCGTTTAGATCTTTGACTCTCAGTCTGGTTAGCGGCTCACTAAAAATCGAGTCATACTGGAACTTGAGTAGTTCACTCATTTCCTTGCTGTCATATGTGTAGAATCCATCTCATTTAAGTAGGTGCCTAATCCTGGATGTTGTTCTCAACTTTGATTTGGCATAAGAAAAGAAATATTTTAGTTTTCTTTCAATTTCATTTATGGTTTTTAGTTCTTCCCACATTTCTTGACTCTTGTAAGATTCCTTTAGCTTTAGTTCGATTTTTGCTATTCACCAAAAATTTCCTTAGCTGAGCAAATCAGTTCAAGACAACTTTTGCTCTACAGTTAAAACAAGATATATGTATCCATTTTTTAACATACCGGTCCTCACCCACAGAGGTAGGGTGACAACAACAACAAAAAGAGGGAAACATTCACCATCATTCATTTGATTGCTATTTCACTGGCTGAAATTTACTGAATAATGTTGAATGTGCTTATATTTTTTCCTGAGTCAGCCTGATGGAAAAACTAGTGCTCAGTTTTCTCTCAGTTTTGAAGAACTTTCTCCTAAGGAAGCCAAGAAATGTGCTTTATTTTTGTCAAAGAACTAGCATGTGACACACAGCACCTGATCAACTACTGTTCCTGCTAAGTGAACAGGGAGAGTGGTTTTAAGGCGACTTGCTCATAGGTCTCGTCTCACTCAGGATTTGAACCTGGATCCTTTCACTTGTAAGCCAAGCACTATACTGAACTATAAAAACTATGTACAGAGGCTGTCAGACAGAATGCATAATAGAAACACAGGAAGTAGTAGTAAAATAATTTACAACAGATACAAACAAATAAAGAGAATCACAGAAGGCACCACAAATTCTATTTCCATGAGATATTAAGAAGAATAAATGTTACAATTCCATGACTGGAACAATTCAAAACTAACTCACAAATTAGAGATGAAACTTCAGGCGACTCTTCGATGCATCCTTGACCATTATCAAGTTACTGAAGGGAACTGTTGACAGAGACAAAAAAAATTATTATTACACGTAACAGCTGTACCGGAAAGATAAAAGCACGTCAAAGGACAACAGGAAACTGGTAAGATCACAAAATATACAAGATGGTTATAAAGGAGGGATGGTGGAATTTGCACCCACAATATATGGTCCAAATTTGTACATGTTACTACAAAGCCAACCTTGCATGGTCCCAATAAGTGTGTCAAGGGAAAGTCGTAACCCCAAATCCACATCTGATCTCATTGAAAATACAACTTTTCCAAGAAAAGTGTGTGTGTTTGTAGTACACAGATGATAAAGTTTTTTATCATGATAAAACACATGTATTACATAATTTTTATACTGTATTATTATAATTATCAAAGAGATAGTATCACACACAAACTACTACTAGTCAAGCACAAGGGGCCAAATAAATGATCTGACTATCTATTTAGCAATCCCCAAAAATTATTGTTCAATTTAATACCCTCAGAATATAATTGCAATAATATAGAAATATTCCTTTTCAAGATACTGGATTTAACACAACAGTGTTAAATTTTTTATATACAAGACTTCACTATTATATAATGTATGACCAAACAGAGTAAGCTGGGTATTAGTCATCATGTACTTGTCAAAAGGAATGGTGTATATATATGTATATATTGCTTACTCTTATCATGAGACTGATGATAGCTGACTCAATGTAGATAACAGATCACCCTTAACTCCTGGAAGATAAGCACTAGGGTAAAGTACAAGCCATGAAACGTGTGTCACTGCTTCATTAATGAAGAACTATCTTCATCATCCAGTTATTTAATCAAATGAATATCAGAGAGAGCAAAGAGCAGATACTGTATCTGTATCATTAACACTAGGTCAAGCCTCTGAGAATATTTCACTGTAAAACCCAAACTAATTACACTTCACACACTGACCAAATAAAGTTTGCAGGTAAAAAGAAAGTAAAACTTTTCTTTATTAACACAACAGCTGTTTCCCACCAAGGCAAAGTGACCCAAAAGAAGTAATACTGTGAGAATAGACTAACCTGAACTCTCTTAAAACAGTGACATGCACTGGACATGGATAGGTCAGTGGATGGCACTGGCTAACAATAAGCACATTCCTGGATCATTACACATCATGGATTATATAACCATTCCCCTTCATTAAGAATACACATTTATACTCTATTTAGTGAACTATGGATTACACTGCACTTGACTTATTTATTATCAATATTAAACAAACTGTTATCATTAGTATAGATAAAATGGTGTGAAAAACAAAACACCGTTAAAATATTTAGTAATTTTAATTTGATAGCCTGTTCATTGATGCTGTATTCCACTACCTGATTAAGTAATCTCTTACTTAATCAGCAGAGTACTCTACTCAGTCATGTCCAATCTACATTTACAGGTCATTGGTGGGCATATCTGATATTCCCATCAACAATAAAGTACGTTTTTTTTCATAAATGCATCTTTTACTAGTGAGGTTACATTAATTCTATATAGATCAAAGCTACAGGCATCATGGCAGGGTGAGCAGTCAACTGCTTCTAATACACATGAGTAAACAGCATTAAAGAACCTGAACTTTCCCCTTTTTCCCTGCACTTAAATACCTGAAGTGCTTTATTATATACTGTATTAATGACAATCAATGCAAAATTTGTCAGGATCATACAGTACCACATGACAGAGGTGAAAGAGATAGCTATAAAAAAAAAAAAAAAAAAAAAAAAAAGGGAGGCAGAGAGAGCAACCAGTGCTGTAAGAGATTGAAGACAGAGTGTCTGCAATAAGGATGGAACCATAAGAGAGGACTCTGTATTACAAGAGCAGCAGCAGTGGCAGCAGCAGCAGCTGAGCTAATGTAATCTATATTTAGAGTTTGTATTGGTCTTTAATAACTAATTTTTTTATTGGCAACTCCTGTGACTTGCAAGATAAAATGAAATCTTTATTACCAAACACATGCTCTGGATATTAGCTATCTTACGAAGTAGTGCTGTTAGAATATAGGAACCTAAAAACAAGAGGTACACTGTTCCGGGCCTTGTGGACCATGTGCAGTAGGTCCAACTCACACACTGATACCACTCACATTTACACACATTTGTAACCTGCTTTTAAAAGTAAATAAGTATTTACCAATCTTTACGGTCCTTGCCAGTTAGTGCCACGTATCTACAACTCTAGTGACAGATAGGTGCTTTCCAATATGCCTTGTAAATCTGAATTAGCCATACTTGAATTCTTTGCTGCAGTACCATATATTTAATTTGCAGTAAGCTGAACTTGTAATGGTTACCAGTACATAACTGTTGTAATACCTTAGTAAATAGTAGGCCCAAATAAAATACTTAATAAAATAAAAAATAAGTTTTTTTTTTTATTATTGGCGATATCCTATGTTAAATCATAATTGCAAGTAATGTTAATATATCTTTATTATCACTGTAACGTTTTTAATATATTCATGGGGAGGCACTAATCCTGTATAGGTCATACAGTACCTTGCTATTACAACATGTCACTTTTTAACTCTTGTTGACTAGCTCAGTTAGTAGCCACCTCAGCTCGCACAGAGGGGCCAGGGTTCGGTCCCCAGTATGGGCTGAAGAGTAAGGCATGCTTCCTTACACCTGCTGCCCTTGTTCACCTTGCAGTAAATACCTAACTGAGAATTAGCCAAAGGGTGTGGGTTGCATCCTGGGAAAAAGAACTAGAGGGCCCCAAGGGATGTGGTAGGCAACACATTCACCTCCGACACTGAGTGTCCGTGGTTCGATCCCCGGAAAGGGTGGAAACATTGGGCGTGTTTCCTTATACCTATTGTCCTGTTCACCTAGCAAGCAAGTAGGTACCTGGGTGTTCGCTAACTGATGTGGGTCACATCCTGGAGGACAAGATTAAGGACCATAATGGAAATAAGACAGACAGTCCTCAATGATGCACTGACTTTCTTGGGTCATCCTGGGTGGCTAACCCTCCGGGGTTAAAAATCCAAACAAAATCTTATCTCTAACTTTACTGGGTTATACTGGGTTACTAACTCTCCAGAAAATAAAAAATAAATAAATTACACACACACACATACACAACCACATGAACACACACACTCATACATGCATGTATGTACATTTGTAACATTTGTATGTACATATACTGTTCCATAGTGGGTGGAACACCTCAAATGATGTGTAAGAAATATCTTATTGTGCAGGAACCTTTATACCTTTGATGTACCTTTGACAGATTTCAAGTTTTCCAACTCCAGCAGGCTGTTCCTAGGCCAGGCTAACCCAGTCAACCAGGCTGTTGCTGCTGGCAGCCTGCTGGTCCACACATTCCAAGTGATTCAATATGTGTAAGTCGCCAGAGTACGAATGTATTTGAAGTCATGGGAAACAGATAATAAACAAACCTTTTATTTACTTGTACAGTATTAAAAAAAATGTAGTTTACGTGTAATATAATAATGTTAAGCACAAAAGCCACTAGCATGCATGTGCATTTCTGGAAGTGCTAAACCCGTACGGGTTGCACAGTGCCTGGCTACTGGAAGGGCATTTAGGTTCCATATAAGGAGGATAGGTGCCAGCTCCTTGGATCAAGAGCCCCTCGCCGGCACCTCCCTCGAGGGGCCGAATACATAAAAGTCCTATGGGGAAAAAAAAAGACCACAGGGAAATAAGAGGCTTATATGACGTCCCTATAGCTCAGATTAACAGCTATACCGAGAAACAAAGCTATAATATTAAATTAAATGAGCTGCGAGGCAGTGTATCAATATTATGGTCAATGTTAGAAGTGTGTAATGCAAGACAGAGCCACCACTCCGGGGGATTACTACCCATTATATCCCTCTTCCCCTCAACACAAGCCACTATCTCTAGCAGAGACTGAAGCTTAGAGTCTTACCTGACCTTAGACACAACGGGGAGAAGCAGGGAGAGAGATAAAGGGGAGATAATAGCCATAAATGAGCGTGGAGGCAGTGGGTGCCAGCAGTGTAAACATCACCTCAATGTTTTCAGCTCACACAGCATCTGATAGATATCTACTCTCCATTTATCTCTTATTTATCCTCTTTATCATCTCTACCTCAGTCTCTAGCTTCGTTGTCTCGATCTCGGGGAGGTTTTCTTTTATTCTTCCAACCAGCATTACCTTAGGTTTGACATTATGGTGATAAATTATTTACAGGTTACTGAGTCAACGCGAGCCACCAGCGGGAGATTTAAATAATATTAAGAAAAGGTGTTTAGGTACTCTAATGCACATTACCCAAATTTACAGGTAATTTTACAAGCAATGGTATAAATTTGTACAGTGGTACTGAGGGGATATAGATACTACAGGCACACACACAGTATATTATACATAAGATTAGATTTTGCCACCGAAGTGGCTAGTTTATTGTGCACCCCATATCCATCCTGTGGACGGTAGCGCGAGAGCATATGGATACACAAAAGGCCTAGGAACTAGGCCCCAAAGGGTTAACAGGAATACATATGGATTTATATCTACATATCTATAGTTCACTTATCTGTTACAAGCAAATTTAGGAAATTTGCTTAGTATATCTGGTATCTTATTTTCATTAATAAGATATCTTGACATGTCACATAGGTTATTATACTGTCTGTCTCTGTATTCCTCAATAAGTGGAACAATTAAGCACATAGTGTTCAAGTGAGTGACCATATGCCTGATCACATAATTTACATTTAGTTTTGATCATCATCTGTGTGTCTCCCAAACTGCCAGAAGTAACTTTGTAACCAAGCCTAAGCCTGGCCACTACAACATCAGTCAGTCTGTCCACATTGCAAGTTGCTCCATAAACATACTTATCTACGTTCATGTTATCATAGTGGGTTATAGATCTACTCAGGCTTCTAACTGCATTCCTATAACAACATTTTCATTATTTATTCTCTCCTAATTTTATTCTAAGCTAGACCATTTAACCCAAAGTTTATTCCCCAAATTCCCCTTCCGATACTCGATCACGTCAAAAAATTTAGAGAAGTAAAAATTTTTGCAAAAAGGCTGGTTCCAGAGCTCGGGGGAAAATGTCCTACGAAGAAAGATTGGGGGAAATGGACTGACGACACTAAAGGACAGGGGGTTAGGGGGCTTCATAACGACATACAAAATACTGCGTGGAATAGATAAGGGGAAAAGAACAGGATGTTCCAGAGGGGGGGCACAGAAAAGGGGTCACAATTGGAAGCTAAAGACTCAGATGATCACGGGGAGTTAGGAAGTACTTCTTTCGTCCAGATCGTCGGAAGGGGTAGCCTGAAAGTGTTGTGTGGAGGCGGGAACCCAAAATATTTTAAAGACAGGTAGGACAAGCTCAAAAGAAGAGGGACCTAGTGCGATCAGTAAGAGGGGGGGCCCGGAGTGGTCTCGCCCCCTGCAACCACAATTGGGTTTTAGTACAGTAGGAAGGCCTCGGACCTTATTTGCAAAGTTATTTGGGGGAAATTTTTAATAGTCTTTTTATGACTCAAGTAAGTAAACAAGAAGAAAGGAAGAAAGTTTTTTTCGGTACAGACCATAATACAATTATTATCTACGTAAATTTACCCAGGATAACCCCCAAAAAAAAAGTGTTTGCGCTTATTTCTTTGGCCCCTTTGAAATATATTTATCATTAAACTTAAAATTAAAATTGTTAATAATTCAACTGTGTGAAAACCCTTACAATAAAAAAAGGTACAATAGGAACTGTTTGCAAAGTACTATATAACAAACGCTCAAAAGAGCGCCTTACTAAAAAATCAATGTCTAAATATCTTAAATCATGAAAAAGTTCCCAACAAAAAAATCATGACTTGTTCGAATTACTGATGCTAAGTTTCCTTTCATTATCTATAGAGTTGGAAATGAACCATGACCTTCACTTATTTTTTCACCTGGCACAGGTGCTGCCCCGCCTGCTGCGGGTCACCTCACCCATGTGAGTATTTGAGGCATCATACTACACGTTATTACAAATAGTGATTTTTAATAAATACATTACTCTACTACTCAAGGACCCCAAGGGGAAATCAAGGCCCCCCCAATGAAAAAAAAGGGACCAGGGGGAAAACTGGACTCAAAATGGAAATCAGTTACTTTGACTTGTTTGGGTTATTTGGGAAAGTACACTAGCGCTATTTTAATAATTTATGAACTGTTTTATAGTACGTGAATAAACTTACTTAAAAAACAGTTCAGTTTGATGGACGGAAGCTGACGTGCCGTGCATGCCCCGGTTTCAATATGCTTTTCACGCATTTATGAGGGGAGTGCTAAACCCTTGGGTTTTCTACACCCCGGGGAATGGCAGCGATCAGGCTCGACCCAAAGGAAAAGAAAGATCATTTCCCAATTTTTTGGATGAAGAGCCCCTCCGGGATCAGGGAACCTCCCGGGAAGGGTTCAGTGAGCCTTCACTGGGCAAAACAACCATTCAGTTAATGCAGTGGGTAAAAGATAAATAAGATAAGATTTCGTTGGGTTTTTTAACCCGGGGGGTTTTCCCCCAGGAAACCCCAAAGAAAGTCAGTGCGTCTCGAGGACTGTCAAAATTATTTCCATTGTGGCCTTAATCTTGTCCCCCAGGATGCCCCCACACCAGTCGACTAACCCCCGGCCCTATTTGTGCTGGGTGAACGGGACAACAGGTGAAAGGGGAAACGTGAAAAGTTTCCACCCGCCGGGGAATCGAACCCGGCCCCCCTGTGTGAACGGGGCTTTAGCCACCGGCCACCGGGTATACCTAAGATACCGGAGAGGGTTCGGGGGCAACCCCCCTGCGGCTCGGTCTGAGCCCAGGCCGTGGTGGATCAGGGTTTACAACCGGGCGGGTTGGTAAAGGGGACCCAAACAACAACCTAAATTGCGGAAGAGATTGCTATGGGGTTAAAGGGTCCCTCAAAAAGAAAATATGCTTGATTCGGTGAGGGGGCTATTGATTAAGGGAAAATGGACTTATCCGGCCCTGAATCACTCCCTTTCGCCCCTATATAAACCCACATTTAAAAAACGTTGAAAATAATAAAATGTGCGCCCCAAGGGCTCATAAAAACAATAATTTGTAGGTTTTCAAACGGGTGCTGCACAGTCTACTGTTAAAATCTGCATACATTATATATAAAAAAATTTTGTAAATGTTAAAATTATATAAAGGGCCCCTAATAAAACGAAATAAAAATTTTTCATACTTTTTTCAAATTTAAAATTTCAAAATTTCCCCTCCACTGTAAACTGTAATGATTCATTTCACGGGGGGATCTTTGTAAATATTTATAAATGTCTGTAAATTTTTTTAATTTTCTTAAATTTAAAAGGGTTTTATTTTAAAAGGAAAAATTCGTACTCATGTGGAAAAAGTGCTCGGTCACAACCGAAAGGCCCGGGGTTAATCCAGGGCAAGCATCGATTATATTGAGGGGTGTCCTAAACCCCTGCTGCCCCTGTGCCCAGCAGTAAAAGGTTTCATAGGAGCTAGTCACCTGGGGGGCTTATATGAGGACTCCACTAGAAGAAAAGACAATTTTTGGGCCCCCCCCCTTGGCCCAAAATGAAAAAAAAGCCTGAGTTTTTTTTTTGATTTATCCTAGTAATTTACACACCATTACTATGCAAGACAAATGTAGTCACCCAAAAAACTTTGAACTGAATGAAAAAAAACTTACTTGGGTTATTCTGGGTTGCTAATCCTCCGGGGTTAAAAATCAGAAAAAAATATACTTTTTATAGATTCCATGGAAATAAGTCATAAGCTTTAAAGCAATTCCAAAATTTTTTAAAAAAACCCTAGACGTCCCCAACCCAGGAGGATGACATAGAAAAAATCCCACCTTACATTACTACCCAAAGTTGGGCCTTTGGCCCGGTAGGTAACACTCCCACCTCCACACAGTGTCCGTAGTTCAAAATTTAAAATTTAAAGTTTTTTCTCTATAAAAAATTACAATGTTGAATTTACAGAATTGGTTTTGTTTTGGTTTTTCTGTAGTTAAATAATGATTAAGAGTGTACCACTAGAAACCCCAGCAGGCTAGGCATTTCGGGCAATTTTTTTAATTCTTTATTTTAAAAAATTTTCAAATTAGAGGTAATTGGTATTTGGGTAAGTGATAAAAAATAGTTTGTGGTTTAGCAAGGGGAAGCTTTTGTTTTGGCACGTACATGTTTCAGTATTGGAGTATCAAGGATTATTTTTTTAAGATTGAGATTAAATTTCTGTTTTGGTCAAATGGGTGAGTGAGTGAAGTGTGAACCCCCGGTGGTATTTGTGAGTTAGTTGATGGGGGGTTCAGGGAGATAAGAGTTTTCTAATGGGTTTTTTTAAGGTGATGAAAAAGGGCTGCATTCTGAGTTCTCGGTAGGGTGTTCCGATTTTAGGGCCTTTGACATACACTAATTTTTTAAAGGTCTAGTCGGACACGGGAAGCGTAGAGATTTTGTGCTGTGTTTTGCCGTGGGGTTTTGTCAAACTTCAAGAAAGCGTTTTAGGTCAAGGTTGATTTGGGTTTAAAGGGTTTTGTAGATGTAGTTTCACGTAAAAAAAGTTGGATGTTGAAGGAGTAAGTTTAGATCTAGAAAAGGGGGGGGGGGGTGTTTTCCGGGATGGATTTAGGATTATTCTTTCTCAGCTTTTTTTTGGGTTATTATTTGGGTTTAGGTGTGTTGCGCAGTTTATTCCCCAAGCACAAATAGCATGGTGAGGATGGGTAAATAAGTGAGTGGTCAGTGTGAGAAGGGGGATTTTGCGGCACGTAGTATCGTATCTTGGGAGGGGTCCCCAACCGTTTTGGATACTTTTTTTGGTTATGTGTTTGGGTATGGGGGGTGAAATTCAGGTTGTTGTCAAGGGATAGGCTGGAATTTGCCCTCATTATCGATCCACCAAGGGGGGAAACATTGGAGTTTCCTTTAACCCGTTGTCACTTCACCTAGAAAGTAAGTACCTGGGTGTCAGTTGACTGGTGTGGGTCGCATCCTGGGGAACAAGATTGAAGGAACCATGATGGAAATATGACAGACAGTCCCTTGATGACGGTGTTAAAAATCAGAGCAAAACCTATGGATTACATTCAGGGTCATTAATGCCATCCATAACATGTTCACCACCAATCAAGAATACTTTATTCCCCATATTGGATATATAAATTGAAA